GGAGGATGGACAGCAGGGTGGGCCTCGCTGGCTGCAACGCGCAGAGCACACAGTCTGAAACTATCACTAAGCCCGGGACAATGGTCCTCAAAGGATGGTCCCTGGTTTCTGGACCAGCAGCATCAGAGCTTGTTAGAAATGCAAATTTTCAGGCCCCACCTGAGAGTCTGATTCAGACCCACAGAATCAGAAAGTCTGAGGGTGGGGCCTGGCAGCCTGTGTTTTAACATGTGATTCTCATGTGCTAAAGGTTGAGAAACAATAGTACAGAATACAGGCAGACTCTGTTTTATTGTGCTTGGCTTTATGGTGCTTCACACATATTGAGCCCTTATAAACTGAAGGCAAGACACTGCACCAGCAGAAAGATTGCGACCCACTTTACTGTAATACTTGCTTTACTGCAGTGGTCTGGAACCAAATACACAATATCTCCAAGGTATGCCCTTATAGAAACTCAACAGAAGATATACATCTTTTTCATATGAAAGTTTTGAAAAATCGGCCTAGCAACGTCTACATAAAAGAGCAAGAAATGTGTAACTGCTTCAAGGACAACACAACTTATTTCTAAAGTCAGAGAAATGCGAAAGGATGTTAACGAAATTATAGAAATAGAGTGTATCTAATAAACTTCCTGAGATGAGATCTAGAAAGCACACCTAAGATCTGGGGGGCTTAGTCCTGACACTGTGTCATTCTGTCCTGTGAATTGTGACCTCAAACGACATGCTTTCACATAGCTGCGCTTTGGCGAGGGGGAGAACATTTTTAACCGGTAAAACATGACAGTTAACTAGAAAACTTGTATCTTGCATTCTAAGAACTGGCGCACTCCTTCACTCACTGACTTTTCCATCACTGTCACGGATGCCTAGAGTTATAAAAACGTCACGCTGCACTGGACTCTGTGTTCATGAAGTCCACATGACTGGGGTGCCCCCCGTAAACATCTCTGCACCTTCAGAGTTTCATTCTACAATCCTTTCTAACCCAGGCGGGCAGGGTTTTATTTTTTTGCTAGGCAAATAATGGGTTAAAGTACCAGACTGTATGGACCCCAGTGCCTGCCACCTCTGACCAGAAGCGGGGCACTCGATATTGCAAATGTAGGCTTCCTGATAAATGGCCCACCATTGACCTTGTTAGCGGGATTCCTAGACACTGGCTTCCTGCCTGGTTTCTCTGCATCCAAGTCCCTGTCTGCACCTACTGGTCATCTAACGCTCGTCCTCTCGTGCCTGGATCCCCAGTGCCACCTGCTTCCCTTCCTCTGCCAAAGGCCAGCTACTTGGTTCTGATTTCAGAAGTAGGGCTGCAAGAGAAACATGGGTGTGCGTACAGGAAGGACAAGGTGGAGGTGTGAGCACCAGGGGGAAAAGGAAGGAAGGTAAGGTCTAGGGAGATCCTGGTCTCCTGCCCCACCTCCCTCACATACCCTGGCTCTTACATTCATTTAGAACTTGGTCAGTGGAAAGCACAGCCAGCTTGTTTGTTTCCCATGTGTACTGATCATAGACCCCGTCGCTCCTCCTACATCTAGCCTGGGTATGTGGCATTTTAGGCTCTCGTGGGCCCGGTGGCAGGAAGAAGCAGGTGAGGGGACGGCTGAAAGAAGGCTGGTGTAGCAGGAGGAAAGCTGGGGAGGGACGAGCACATCAAGAGTGGTGTGACAGCAGAGGGGACCAAAGCCATGAACGTGGGCCTGGCAGGCAATGCCAAGAAGATTAGTTTTGTCTTTATCCAGTTAGAGCAGCGGTTCCTGACCTCCTTGGCACCAGAGACCAGCGCTCCTATGAGAATCTAATGCCCGATGATCTGAGGTGGAGCTGAGGTGGTGATGCTAGCGCTGGGGAGTGGCTGCAAATATAGATGAAGCTTCGCTTGCCTCCTGCTGTGTGGCCTAGTCCCTAACAGGCCACAGGACAGTAACCCTCGAAGCCTGGGGCTTGGGGATCCCTGCAGTTAGAGGACTCCTAGTGCTGGAGAATTTTCCAGGCTAACTCCTCCTGCACTGATCTCCAACCTCAGAGTCATTTGTGTTGGGTGATCACACATCTTCATTTGCCTAGGGCAGTCCCTGTTGAGGCTAGTTGTTTAGATGCAATTATTAATAGCCACCTTTTTATTCTCAAAATGTTCTGGTTCGAATGATGAATTCTAGTCACCTTATTCTTGGGCCCCTAAGCCTACAAAATCAGAGTCATAGTTAGAGAAAGTTGCTTCATATTGGAAGGGACCTCCCGGCAGAGCCTCGCCCCTCATCAAATGCTCCATTCTCCCCTCCGGCATCCTTGCCAAGCCATCACCCAGTGTCTGCTTATATACCTGTAGAGACAGCAGGCTCACTGTCCCCTGAGGAAGCCTCTCTTTTTCCAGAAAGCTGTGTGGTAAAAACAGCAGGATTCAAACCTGAAAACAGTATGATTGCAACTAAACAACAAATCATTCAGCAAAGAAAGCAGTGGGAGTGGGGGGACTAGGAAACCTGACTTTCCCCCTTCCAGCTCCTGCCGTCTTACTGTCCCTTCATTCAACGAATATTTACTGTGTGCATTTGATGTTTCGGGGGCACTGGGGACACAATGGTGAGTTAAACAGACTCAAATTGAGGGACATTCTACAAAATAACTGGCCTGTACTCTCCCAAAATGTCAAGGTCATGAAGGTCAAAGACAGACTGAGGGACGGTTCCAGTTTAAAGGAGACTAAGAAGACATGACAACCATAGGCAACGTGTGATCTGGGGTTTTCTTTGCTACAAAGGACACCATCAAGACAGCTGACAAAACCTGAGTAAGGTCTGTAGATGAGAGAATAGTATTGTATCAATATTGATTTCTTGATTTTAAAAATTGTGCTGTGGTTATAAAGGAGAATGTCTCTGCTTCTAGGAGACGGAAGTACTCTGGGGGAAAGGAAGAGTCTAATTCCTAAATGGTTCAGGGAAAAATGCATATACATAGAGAGAAGGATAAAATAAATGTGATAAAATGGTACCATTTGGGGACTCTGGGTGAAGGGTGTATGGGAATTCTTTGTTCTATTCTTGGAATTTTTCTATGTGTGAATTAGGTCAAAATAAAGTTAAAAGAAAAAATAAGTCTCAGAGAAAGTTTTTTTTTTTCTTTTAAGAAAGACAGACTTGACTTTACAGACCTCACAGTGTAGCTGGGGGCGACAGGTACTAATATAAATAATTACACTAATTAACGACAAAATTGCAACTGTGAACAGTGCTATAAAAGGAGGGAGATCTGGTGGCGAAAGGGTTTAGAGCAGGCAGTTTTACCCAAATCAGGGGAGCGAGGGGAGATATCTGCAATCATGGAGCAACGCCCCAAAGCACGAGTTAACCGGGGAGCAGAAGTCGGTTCCAGGCTCTCGCAGCCCGATTTTTCTTCTGACCCCTGACTCCACTTTTCTGCAACTGCCATGTATGAATGTGATAACCAGAATGGGTATGAGGGGCTGCGAGGTGAAGTAAGTGGACAAGATCTAAGCTCAGGCTGTCATCATCCCCTCTCTAGACACACCAGTGAGTGGTCAGAGTCAAGTGGCAAATGACAGAGTTGGCGAATGCCTCTCTCACCAAGACTGTCAGGTGTAGACTGAGGCCGACTCAGTCGACCTGAAGCAAGTGGTGTGCAGAGGCCAGGTCTTTACATCCTCCTCCCAAAGCCAGACCGGTGCCTTTAATCGACACAGCATCCAGCAGGCTGTGGCCCCTTTGTGGTCCTGCGTCCTGCTCCTTTAGGACCTGTAGCTCTGCCCTGGGAATGGGCCATCACTCACCCGCAGCGTCTCTCTGCACTGAACGCCAAACCAAGTGCTCTTCTGGGGGGTCAAGGGCCTGACCACAAAGGGAGGGGACATTTTTCTGTGCCTTAATGAGTTTTCGCTTAATAGCTTCTTGAAAATGGTCAATTTACAGGAAACGGGTTCTAGTATTCTCCTTTTACAGTTAAATGATTTGTCTAGGGACTGACTTGGGTTCAAATCTTAGCTGTCCTACTTAAGAGCAATGTGCCCTTTGGGTATTCACTTCATCTCTCTGAGCCTCGGCTTTCTGATCCCATCTGTAAACTGGGGCTGGTAGGAATTTGCAAGATTTTGGAACTAAAAGGTACTGTTTATTCCCTTTTGAGGCTTCGATAGGCTCAGTACAAAAAATTCACTCCAAACTACACACAGCGCTTAAATATTTACTAAAAGCTTGTGTATCCTGACAGTAAATCATGGGACCTGAATTTTCCAGGACGATCCCAATTTCAAATCCTCTGTCCTAACTTTCCACATAAACCATCGAAATGTCTCAAAAATTCCACTCTCTCAGTATCCAAACAACACCTCTCAGGGCTCTTCTTGTACAAAAAAGCAGCACAAACATTCTTTTTCAGACTACAGAGCCCAATCTCTGATTTAGAAAGTGTAGTCAGTGGGGCCCTGTAGGCCCCCTGAAGGAAATGGGGTCAGGGAGAAAAAACCATGGCAGTCAGCACTCATCACAACTTTCAGACTTGGTTGTTTCCTGGCACAGTGGTCTGAAGAGCAGAGAGCAGCCAGAAGCCATACTGTGATCAGAACATCACCCAAAGAAGGGTACAGATTGGGGAGAGGAGCTCTGCCCACCTAGGTACCAAGTGGCCACTACCTGGGAGGGCAGCATGGCCAGAGCGTTGCTCTGAGGATTAAATGAAAGAGCTAATCTTTAGAAAGCACTCAGGAACCGTGCCTGGAAGCCAGGAAGTATCAAATCAGTGTTGAATAACTAAACCAGAGGCATCTCTGGTGGAAGGTGCTCGTGCCTCAAAGACAGCCCAGAGGCATTGCTCCTATCCAGGGAAAAGGAGAATGGACACTTACTTCTGGGTTGAGTGAGGCCAGGCCCCTGAACAGAGATGGGGGAGTATTTTAACTACAGGAGGTAGGGTCCTGCATTAGCCAAGCTCAGAAGGCTGGACTTAGGGAAGAGTCACCATTCCTGAAGTACAAAAGGTCTCTTCATGCCTCTGAGCCTTTGCATCTGCTGTTCTGTCTGCCCCCTGAACACCATTTTTTTCCTGCCTTCAAGGCTAAATTTAAATGCCAGCTACTCCCTAGGATGTTCCCTGATGGCTGTCAGAATGAGTGGCTGTCTCTCCTGGTCTCTCTTATGTCTGGCTTTATCTTCTTTTAAAGCAGTTATCAGATAGATATAGATAGAAAGAGAGACAGACAGACAGGAAGACAGACAAGACAGATCTCACACATACGTCACTATCATCCCAACTCTGCCATGAATCCTTCCAAGATATGGGTTCGAATTTCATCTCTGTAACCCTGGTGCCTGACACATAGTATAGGCTCAATAAATGTCTGAATTTGTGGTTAAATACGTGTTCACAGCTGGTCTTCACCAGAGGCACAACCAGAAGCTGTGTGACGCAAGATCTCTGAGTCTTGGAACCCATGACCAGATCGGATTTCAGCCAGGGGCCAACCAAGTACTCTCTTTAGTCCCCCCTCAGGTAGATGAAAGACATCTGTGACAACGGAGCCTGCGGTTGCCAGGACCCAGACCAGAGCAGTGTGGACACTGACCAGGTCCCATCCTGTCTCTATTACAGTTGGTAAGTAGAGCCAAGGGTTGGGAAGAACACCAGCAGGCTGCCCTGCCCCCACCAATCTGTCAACGCCCTGGCCAGTGGAGAGTGCCTTAGGCATTCCAGCCCCTGCAATAGACCCTGGGAAGAGATGGAAGGATTGGCTCTGCTGTCCAGGAACCATTGTCTGGTGGAAGGAAAGTGAGCACTGGAGTTATGATCAATTGGCGCTCTCCTAGGGAGAGAGGCAGGTCCCTTCCCAACCTGTCACAAACCCTGAGGGTTGGGGGAAGAAGGTAGGGTGCCTCGTCTTCCTGCTCCCTCCAATCTCCAAAGCTAAACCCCTCTGGTGGTTTATGTCCATCCTAGAAAACAAAACCCCTCATGCACCTGGACCCGAGGTTCAGAAGGTCACAATTCATCCCTCTTGTTCCTAGCCCCATACTACCTTTGCTAGCTCAGTTTCCTTCACTGCAAGAGAGGAGAGAGAGGACACTGAAGTTAAATAATGTACGTGAAACCTCCCAGTTCACAGTCAACAATCAATCCCCTGAGACCACTTACCAGCTTGGAACCCCAATTTCTTTCAGGGATAAGATTTGTCTGACCAGGTTCCTGATGTGTGAATGAGAATGTTAAAAGCTACCAGGATATTTTTCTATAAAATGCAGAAAGGAGGGCTCAGATATAGGACTAGTCAAGCCGTGTGAGACCCTGGATTTGACTATGTTAACTTAGGTTCTTTCTCCTGTCTCAAGTTGTTCCTGACGGCCTTCTAGGTGTCTGACCTGACCAGGCCCTGCCCTCTCCTTGCAGAGAAATTCCCCCAAGCACCCTGGGTTCACTGGGGTCCACTGGCCAACCCTGCATCCTCCACCTCCATCACTGTATCTGCCATGTAGAAGCAGCTCGGTAAATGCTGGCTGAACAGAATGCTTCAGCCACTCTTAAATGCCTTCAGAACTTGACCTTTTACATTCCCCAGCTAATGTCTAATTTGCATATAGGAGTCTGTTTTGAGAGATGGCAAATCACCAGAGACAACTTGGAATCAATATAGAGTATTAGGCATGTTTTATTCTACTCTAATTCTCTGCAAATTGGTATTCCATTAACTGTATGTGGGATTTATGGGAGCTCACTATAAACTAGAATATTTAACTAGAACGACCTACTCTCTGTCATATAATAGCCTACTATTGTTAATGTTCAACTAGTCAATTTCAGAAAGACTTCCAGCTTCTAAGCTACTTTACATCTTGATTTAATCGTAAGGAAAGGCATCTATTTGAAAGTCTCCGTACTATAAAATGCAGCTTGATGCAGAAGAAAAAGAACTACCCTGAGTTATATCCCACCATATAACGTGTAAATTGGCTGCTCAAAGCCTCAATTTCTAAATCTGTAAAATGGGAATAACATCAACCTCCCTCATTGTAAAAATTAAATGAGTTGATGCATGTGGATGCACGCTGTGCTGTTCTATAAGGTTACACAAAGATTAGTTATTATAATAACTACATAAGATGAAATTCTCAAACAACTCTGATAGGCTAATGACAGAAAGCAAGAGCAGTTCTAAAGAGGGAGATGGGCTATTTGGCCCCCCAGGGGACATCTGGCCATGTCTGGACGCATTTTTGGTTGGCATAACTGAGAGGGATGCTACTGGAATCTAGTGGGTAGAGATCAGGGATGCTGCTAAATATCCTACAGTATACAGGACAGGTCCTACAACAAAGAATTAACTAACCCCAGCCATGAGGTTAAGAAACCCTGGTCTAATAATCACTGAAGGTTGGGTGTAGAAACTTTTTAGAACAGAAATCTTTCTAACCAGGCTTTACTTTCCAAGCATCATCTGCTTAAACATTTGCAAGATGGATCGTCACACAAAACAGCTCTTTTGGAAGTAAAGCTGAACTGCCAACTTCTGGAGTTTCTGAATGTATAAAACTGCTTTTAAAGAAGATGCTCTCTGATTACAGTTCAGTAAAATTGTTTTTCCAAAGCCCTTGACTTCAGTAGTTCTCCAGGGCACAAGGACAGGGTCTGTCACTCTGCCACTAGGCCCTGAAGATGCTTTCGTAATTCTAATTTCCTGGTGAAATGGGAGCCACGAGGGTCTCTAAACGAATTAAATTCACATCAAGCCAACTGCTCGCTTGCTTTGTGCCGGGCGCGGTGCCAAACACCTCCACATAATTTATCCCACTTAATCTACCCAACAAGCCAAGGAGGTGGGCATTATTACCGGCTGTTTGCAGGGGAGGAAATTGGGGATCAGAGAGGTTAAACAACTCGCCCAAGGTCACCAGCTGGCTGAGGAGCCCAACTTGATCGGAGGTCTCCAGTTTCCAAGTCACAAGCTCTTTTTCACCACCTCGGAAAACCCAGGTGTCAAGTTGTCTCAACTTTCCATGAATTTTTAAGGCAACCGCAACTTCTCAGTAAGTTTAAGTTGCTGGAAATGGGAATTTCCGGGGGGTTGGGCGGGCTCACTACACTCCCCCCACTGCAGCTGTCTTACCGCAGGTACCTGATAAATCATTCCATATCGCCCGCGGAACAGGGAGGATTTATTGGCGCTGGAGTTCGTGCCAGGCCCAGGAAATGCCATCTTTGAAAGCCGAGAGGCGGATTCGCCCTGGTAGCCGAGAAGGTCTGGCCGCCACGCCTGGCTTGCAGCCTGCGGGCTGTGCGCCCCCTCGGCGCCCGGGAGGGGGTCGCGGCGGCGCTGGGCC